CCAACTTCACCTCCTACCAACTCCCCCAAAATCACCAGAGCCACGAAACATTTCAGACAACTTGCTTTATCCCAAAGTGAGTGTTTTTCAACACCACATCATGGCACGTGGTTCCCCCTTTGCCTAGAATAACATTCTTCTACTTATCTGCTCTACCCTTGCACGCTACCTTCAAGATTCGGCTCACATGATGCCTTTTTTTTAACTGCCAGAGGGCACAGAAGCTCACCTGAGACAAGAGTATGTAAGAGAAAGGGAGAAAGCACTCCCCAATGGGGCATGGTAATGCACAGTCCTTTCTCCGTTTCTCTATCCTTTGAGAACTTTGGGCACATGCAAACGCTGAACTGTTCCTCAAATCAGTGGAGCTAGATTCAAACCACAGAGGCCCACGTGGAATTCAATTCCCTTAATCACCAGACAATGGAGCTCAAAAGACATTTCCCAGAATTCAGGACCAGCATATGGCTTAATGATTACGTTGTTGGATTCCCACATAGTAGACCAAGTTCCAAACCTGGTGGCTTAAAATTTACGCTGGGAGCATGTACGTGCATGCCCAAAATCTGGAAAAGGAACGAGAAATGGAGAACAGATTGCGGCATAACATGCCTCACAGGGTGGGGTGTGTGTGTGTGTGTGTCTTCTCGCTTTCCCTCTCTTCATTAAAACAATGATTCTCAACAATGGTTGCACATTAGAATCATCTAAAGAGCTTTTTTTTTAAAAAAAAAAAAAAAAGAATTACTTTATTTATTTAATTTGACCAGAGAGGGGAGAGAGATAGAGAGTGAGAGAAAGCAAGCCTCCAAGTCCAAGACTCGAACAGCAGTCGGCCACGTGGGAGTCCAGTGCCCCTAACTGCCATGCCACCTGCCAGCCCTAAAGAACTTTTAAAGAGGGGACCAGCAGTTGGTAAAATTGACCATGATAGAAGATTCGAATTGCAAGAATTTGTGGAATAACCTTATAAAAGGTGTAAACTCTTTATGCCCACAATGCTAATGAAAGAGTTACTATTCTTCATAGTTCACATAAAAACATGCAAGTTCTGAGACCAGCAATTAGCATAATGGCTATGTCGCTGGACTCCCATGTAGTCAACCGCAGTTCGTGTCCTGGACCCAGTGGCTTGAACTCATGCCAGGTGTGTGTGTGTGCATGCCCAAGATCCCGAGAGGAGAATGGAGGAGAAGGGAATGCGGCGTGGCCATCCCCCCTGGGGGGTGATTTCTCACTTTCTGTTTGTCTCTCTCTGTCTTTTTGGCGAGCGCACACGCCCTATAGCAAAAACCTCTCCAAAATAAAAAAGCTAGTTCTGAAGAGCTTAAGTCCTAAAGCTAATGGAGTATGGCAGAACGTTTTTTTTTTTTGTAAGATTTTTGCTATAGAGCATGTTCACTCACCAGAGATACGTACAGAAAGTGAGATATCACCCTCAAAGGGTATGGCCACAGCACAATACCTTCTCCATTGTCTTCATGGGATTTTGGGCACGCACACACATGGATCTGGTGGGAATTTTAAGCTGCTGGGTCTGGGACTCGAACCACAGTCAAATACATAGGAGCCTAGTGATGTAACCATTATGCCATCTGCTGGTCCCCAGGCCTGTAGAACTTTAAGACTCAAGATCTTCCTACCATTATTGCATTGCTTCACAAAAGGAATAAAACAGAACAGATTTCAGAATATTAAGTGCAATGAAGGCAAAATGCTAAAGAAAGTGTCCAATGCAGGCTCTTCAGCCAGGGAATAAGGTGAAAGGAGAAAAAATGATTATGCCAAAGATGTACCTGGCAGTATACAAATGGATTAGGAACAAAAAGAATACTGATTGCTTCTATAATGAGCCACATAACAGAATTTTTAAAGTACAACATTCTCCACTAGTTTCAGAAGTCACTTGAGGGACGAGCAGTTGGCATAATGGCTATGTTGCTGAACTCCCATGCAGTCAACTGCGGTTTGAGTCCCGGAGCTGGCGGGTGGCACGCACACACATGGATCTGGTGGGAATTTTAAGCTGCTGGGTCTGGGACTCGAACCACAGTCAAATACATAGGAGCCTAGTGATGTAACCATTATGCCATCTGCTGGTCCCCAGGCCTGTAGAACTTTAAGACTCAAGATCTTCCTACCATTATTGCATTGCTTCACAAAAGGAATAAAACAGAACAGATTTCAGAATATTAAGTGTAATGAAGGCAAAATGCTAAAGAAAGTGTCCAATGCAGGCTCTTCAGCCAGGGAATAAGGTGAAAGGAGAAAAAATGATTATGCCAAAGATGTACCTGGCAGTATACAAATGGATTAGGAACAAAAAGAATACTGATTGCTTCTATAATGAGCCACATAACAGAATTTTTAAAGTACAACATTCTCCACTAGTTTCAGAAGTCACTTGAGGGACGAGCAGTTGGCATAATGGCTATGTTGCTGAACTCCCATGCAGTCAACTGCGGTTTGAGTCCCGGATCTGGTGGCTTAAACTGACGCCGGGGGCGTGTGCATGAGTGCCCAAGATCCCGAGAGGAGAATGGAGGAGAAGGGATTGCGGCGTGGCCATCAGTTTGATTTCTCACTTTCTCTCTCTCTCTCTTTCTGGTGAGTGCACGTCCCCTATATCAAAAACCTCTTCAAAAAAAAAAAAAATGTCACTTGAATTCTGAAAGCTGTTAAGATACTTCTTTAACAAATACTTAGGAGATTCTTGATTATCCATTGTAAGTGATCAATTAACTGGAATTACACGGGTAGACAAAAATGCCAGGTGGATAATATTTACAAATAAAATCTTATCACTTTACATCTGGGGGAATTTTAAGTTTTTAACTGATTTTTGGGGCCAACAGGTGGCATGGGGATCAAGGCACTGGACTCCCACAGGGCGGACCACAGTTTGAGTCCCAGATCTGACAGCTTGCTTTCTAAATTTTTGTCTGTCTCAGGTGAGTGAATGTGCACTATAGCAAATTAAAAATAATAAAACTAAATATTTTTTTTTAAAAAAAGGTTTTGGGACCAGCAGTTAGTGTAATGGCTATGTCGCTGCACTCCCACGTAGTCAACTGCGGATTGCGTCGCGGACCCGGTGGCTTAAAACTCACGCCAGGCGCGTGTGTGTGCATGCCCAAGATCCTGAGAGGAGAACAGAGAAGGGATTGCGGCGTGGCCATCCCCCTGGGGGGTGATTTCTCGCTTTCTGTCTGTCTCTGTCTGTCTGGCGAGCGCACATACCCTATAGTGAAAACCTCTCAAAAAAAAAAAGGGTTTAATTGATTTTACCCTTAAAAAAAAACTCAATTAACTATTAATGCATATTCATAATGTGAATTTTCTCCAACCAAGAATCCAAATGGTTTATTATTTAGCCATAATAAACTCAAATGCCTCTATCCTCCACATGCCTCCATCATCTCACCTAACCTCTTATTTTCTTCAAAAGCATCCTTCACGTCAGCTTCCTCATTGTGCCATAGAAGGCGTAGCACACAATACCCTGGAGTAGAGTTCATTTCCAAGCTCTGAAATACCTTTTTCATTCTCTCATTCAACTTCCAACCACTCATCTAAGCCCATCTCAAAATCTATTATTCTTCCCAAAGCCCTTTATATGAATCCTACAACACTTAAAAATAGATTCCAGGGACCAGAAGGTGGCATGGTGATTAAGGTGCTGTACATTCCCACATGGCCGACCACAGTTCAAGTCCCAGACCTGGTGGCTTGCTTTCTCACTTTCCCTCTCTCACTCTCTGATAAAATTTAAAAATAAATGAATAGGGACCAGTAGTTAGCGTAATGGCCATGTCACTGAACTCCCATGTAGTTGACTGTGGTTTTAGTCCCGGACCCGGTGGCTTAAACTCATGCTGTGCCCATGTGTGCAAGTGCCCAGGATCCCGAGAGAAGGGATTGTCGTGTGGCCATCCCCCCGGGGGGGTGATTTCTCACTTTCTGTCTCTATCTTTCTGGTGAACACACATGCCCTATAGCAAAAACCTCTATTTTAAAAAAAGAATGAATAAATAAAATTAAATAATTAATTTAAAAAAAAAAAAAGATTCCAAACTGGTAACTGATAGGTCACATGTGATTTGTATTTTGCCGGTGGGTCTTCTGAACAAAATTTTATTCCACTGACAATATTTAAAAACTGAAAGATATCACATTAAAATACTGTATTTTCAACTTTTCTTGGGAAAAAAAAAAAAGAGATGTTCTGAAATATTAGATGTTCTGGGATTATATTCGAACATAGCCACCATCAGTTATAGCCAAGTAGCAGCTAACCACTTACTTACTCACTAATGGTAATGCCTGACTTCTGAAGCTGCATTCAACACCTACAATCATTCAAGAAATAGGACTGCCTGTTATGTGCCAGAAACTGAATGAGACCCAGATGTTACTAAGATAAGTAAGGCAACCACAATCACTGCTCCACACCTTAGCTTAGTAGGGAAGGCAGAGACAAGCAATGTGGTAAGTACTATGAGGGAAAAGGAGGGCAGATAAGAGCACAAAGCAAGGATACCTATTTCTACAGAAATACCCCTCAAGTAGAGTGGTGCCTAACTCAGATCTTTAGCTGGACTAGGAGTTATCCAAAAGGCAGGAGGGGACAGAGAAATACCTTGTCCCATACAGAGCAAAGAGCCTTTGCAAAGACACTGAGGAGATAAACGGAGGAAATGAAATAGATTAAATTTAGCCAGAAACTATGCTCAACTTTAAATGTAGTCAGAGAAATGGCTCAAGTGAAACAGCTGGCAGAAAAAAGCCATGGGTCTGTTTAGGTGGTAAGATGAAGAATTTCAGTAAAAAAGATTGAATATGTAAAGTAAGTGAAAAACAGGGGTTTCAGAGAGCAAAGTTGGGGTGCTAAAGGGTGAAATGGGGAAGAAAAGAAGAAACGGCAATAGCTCATATCAAGGGGGAAGAAGCACAAAGCACCGTGGGGATGAGAGTACAGCATAGACTACCAAAACGCTTACATCTCCGACGGTAACCAAGGATCACCGGGATGTGAAGCACGGCAGGTTTGGCTGGCCAAAAGTTTGCCAAGAGAATTAGTCCCAGCGACCCTTGGGTGGATCTGGAGGCATTCTGACCGCTCAAAATTCTGCTGCACCTTGGTTGGGCTGCATTTCCATCTCTCTAGAAGACATCAGCTTCAAACTGGACTGACTGTGGCGGCTCCAGAAGAGGCTCTGGGGTTCCAGGCTGCCGGTACACAGGCTCCCCGGGACCGGTTAAAGGCCTGGTCTGTATGTGCTGGTGGGCAGAAGTATTAACTACATTGCATCATTTTCTGATTTTGTTGTAGGAAGAATGGGCAGTTCCAGGCTCTTAGAGAAAAAGCAGTGAGTGCCTTAATAGATTCATAGGAAAAAGAAAAAACAGTTGCCAAGGAATTCAACGTTTTCCCACACCGATATTTAACATTACTCATTTCTGTGAATCCAACTCTCTCTAAGGTCGCCTTGCCTCCCCAACTAATCTGAGTGAGATCTTCCCCTGGAAAAGGCCTGTTTTACACTTTTTTGGGTGCCTCTTAAAGCGCCTTATTCCGAGACGGTCACATCAAACACATTCAGTAAAATTATCTACTTCCTAAATGATCTCGAGTCACTAAAGTTATCGAGCTCAGTCTTTTTTCTGTGTATTAAGGCGCTAAAGAGATGCGTACCTGTAGACTCCACTGCGTCTCTCCACCCTCAACCGCAAGGGCAGAATTGTAGCACCATTCAAACGCAGCACGAGACTCCACGTTCACCCACGGAAGACGCCCGCAACATCCACGCGGGAGTAGCAGCCCACGCGTCTGCCCCACCCCCCCAGTAGCAAAAGTAAAAGGCGCTCACCAACTCTGGGCCGCCGGGAGACCCCGTAAACGTCGTCGTCCGGTCGCCTGGGCGATCCCGGGCAGGCACTTCCGGCGCGCGTGATGACGCGACAGTACCGCCCGCCTCTGGGCCCGCCCCCGGGCCGTGTCTAACGAGAGCCGGGAAGAGGCATTGCTTGCTTATGCTTTTCATCTGGGCGCCTGGCTTGTCGCGACCCGTGATGCCAAGGCCGCCGCGAGGAGCGAGGAAGATCCCCCAGCTGAGCTGAGGACTCCGCTCGTTTAGCCTCCTGGGTCCGCTCCACCTGAAGGTAAACGCCTCTTCGGCTGCGTCTGAAGCGGGCCGCTCCCCAGATCCGGAAGCCACGACAATTGCCCCTAACTCCCGCCACTCTTGACCTTTGCCCACATTCGCAGTTCTCGCCCGAACGTCTAACGTATACAGTCCGTACCCCCATCTGTTAGACACACCACACACGCTTTTTAAACCAATCATTTGAACTTGGTTGAAGCTCATTATTTGCTGACTTTATAAAATAAGGGGTAATAGTGAAATACGGATTATACTTGGGAATAAATATGTATGAGGGAGACTTCAAAAAGATCGTGGAAAAATGGAATTAAAATACGAGTTATTTTGGTGCAACTATTACAGATCTTTCAAATCCATGTATAATCCTTTCATATTCCGTGTTTTCCATTAATTTCTGAAGACCTTATGTATGTACATACTGGTAAATATCCCTTCAAGACACTGAACCTACTAATATAATCAATCATTTCCTAATTTGGCAATAATAAGCAAAATTAGTGATTCAAAAGAACTTTGCATTGTCAAAAATGTGAAATTCCTCCTAGAGCCAACCAGAGGAAAATACTAAGACAATTACAAAGGTACCCAACTATAGTATTAGCAAAAATTAGGAAGATGTACAAATCTTGCTTAATTACTTCAGTGATTGCCAATATTGTTTTTGCTTGGAATGAAGACTATCAGGTTTAGATGCTTACAGGCTTGCTTGTTTTTCTCTTTAGATATGAGTGGTGGATTGGCTCCTAGTAAGAGTACTGTGTATGTATCCAACTTGCCCTTTTCCCTGACAAACAATGACTTATATCGGGTAAGTTTTGGTATTTTTATCTGCTGAAGTCTCTGTTTCAGGTGTGGATAAGATAACTAGTGTAAGCAGGTATCTCTAACAGAATTCTTTTTTCTGTGTTTTTTTTTTTCTTTTTTGCCAGAGGGCATGCACATATACCCAGTACTGAGCTGGAGTGTGAAATGCTGTGAGCTGTGTGGGATCTGGCATCCCACACACAGAGTTTAACCACTGAGCACGGGGCCAGCCTCTGGCAAAATTCTTAATAAGTGCATTTTAATGCACTTAAACTATGAGTGCCAAAGACCTGTGTCTTAAATGTGAATGAGTGATAAAAATGAGAAAATTATCATTTCAAAAGGAATTCAGTGTCTTGATAAAGAATAACAAGTTTTTGTTTGTTTGTTACCCTAGGGCCTGTGTGCCTGCCTCAGAAAGACAGGGAGAATGGCCACTCTGCAATTCCTTCTCCATTTTTCTTTTAGAATTTTGGGCATGCATGCATATATGCAGATGTAATTTTTCAAGCCTCTGGGTCCAAGACTCGAACCATCAAATCCACTATGGCTGTGTGGGACTCAGCCACCTTAACCTCCACTCTACCTACTGGCCAAGTTGTTTTTTTTTTTAATTTTTTTTTTCCCATAGGGTGCGTGAGATCACCAGAGAGAGAGGCAGAGACAAATGAAGGAAGGTGAGAAGTCACCTCCCCAGGGGATGGCTACATCTCAATTGCTTCTCTATTCTTTCTGGAATCTTGGTTACTCACACAAGTATGTGCCTGGTGTGATTTTCAAGCCAGGGCATACAGGTCTCAAACCACTGTCAACCATGTGGGAGTCAAGCAATGCAACCACTACACCATCAGCTGGCCCTATCCCCAACAAGTTCTTTTTAAACACGGAAGGCACAACTAGCATAATGAAGTGGGAGCAACCTGGGGAAGGCTGTTCTTCCTGCTTCCTTACTTGGCTTCTGAAACTGAATGTGAGGCAGAAGTTTTAGAGGAAAAAGGTAATGGGAACGCACAGACCCCTTTTCTAACTTTCAAGTTGTTTTTGTTTCTTAATTGTCAGATGGTGCATGTGCTGACTAGAGAGACAGAGAGAGAAGCTTCCCCTAGTGGAGTATGGTCACACACAAATCTTTGGCACACTCACAAACATGCTTTGTATGTTTTTCAAGCAACGACATTGAGATTTGAACCATATCGTCAGCTGTCCAAGATATAGCTCCTTTAATCACAAAGCTATAGGGCCAGCCCCCTGCCCTTCAAGTTCTGGAGAAAAAAAAAAGAAAACAAAACATATATGTGTGTGTGTGTGTGTGTGTGTGTGTATAATGTAATCATTTAATTTTATCTATATTATTACTTTTTAATTTGAACAGAGCAAGGGAGGAGGGAAAGTGAGAAAGCAAGCTGCCAGGTCTAGGACTCAAACCATGGTCGGCCATATGGAAGTAAAGTGCCCTAACCACCACACTACCTACTGGTCCCCTGAAAGTTTATCTTGATGAACACACATGGCAGAAGCTTATCAATTAAGTCCATTATGGTTTTCATTTCAGGATAAAGGTGATTGAGGTGAGGGAAAATCCCAATATATCCTTTAATCATTTTTTTAACATTTATCCTTTTTTTTTATTTTTTGAGAGGTTTTTGCTATAGGGCACATGTGCTCGCTAGAAAGACAGAGAGAGACAGAGATATAGAAAGTGAGAACTCTCACCCCCAAGGGGGTATGGCCACACCACAATCCCTTCTCCTCTTGAGATCTTGGGCTCACGCGTGCGAGCACACATGTGCCCAGCATGAGTCACCAGGTCCGGGACTCGAACCGCAGTCGACTACATGGGAGTTCAGTGACATAGCCATTACGCTAACTGCTGGTCCCTCCATTTATTATTTGTGATTTTCAAGGGACTGCATCCAGTACTTGAACTGTAGTTGGCCATGTAGGAATCCAGTGCCTTAATCACTGGTACTGGCCCTCTTTAACCTTTTTTTTTTTTTTGAGAGGGTTTTTTT